CAGTTGTATCCCACCTCGAATATATCCCCAAAAAAGTTCTGTCCCAAAGTGGGGATATAAACGAGGTATGACTGTATTATTCTTGTGTATGTGGTGTAACCCCTGAAATTTGTTTGTGGCCCCACACAGATTTAATACCCCCTCGTCTGTCTATCTAATACTAATACCCAAGGCTATTTGTTTTTTTCGTCGTTCGTCTCATAATGTCACTTAGATCAAAAGGATCTTCGGAATTTACTCTTTCCGACGTTGGCAAGATTACTGGAGAGGTTTATTCGCCCCCATTTGCTACTTCCGACGACATGTTCTGGCAGCTAAAATTTGTTCCTGTGAGTAAAATAGATTCGAGTATACGATATCTATACTCTTTATCAGTGAGTATATTCATGTAATAGTAATTTATCCTATTTTTTGAATAGTCCTTTAAAGATGACCCAGACTATTTCTCTCTATTCTTATGCGCTATTCCAAATGCAGAAGAAGAGCATATGGCTGGTGTATGGTCAAGAAGAGGAACATTGTCGGCAACCCTTTATCTACGAACGCAATCTGGGCAAGAATATACTGGGTAAGTGCAAAATAGTCTTGGCAAGAGAGCGATTCCACTATCGGAGGGGCAATTGACGTCTCTAGCTAACTTTTTGCTCACTCGTTCTATTTCAAGTCAATACGTAAAGACATTTATCATTGGTATGGACAACTTCTGTGCTAAATGGGGCGGATATGGTATGTTTATAATGGCAATGTCTTTTATCCCACCCCGTCCGTTTCATATAAAAATTTTATTATTGACTATTTTACATTTTCATGCCAGGTCTGAACAGATTTTATAAGAAAAGTTTATTACCAAACGCATTTACACTTGGAGTAGAATTCGATTCTGCCATGTTTCGACCACTGGCTCAAGCAGGTCCTTTACCTGGCAAACCGATACCTGAAGCCTTACTCGAGGCGTGGACCGAACACCTCAACAAATCTGACACGGCAGACGTAGAATTCAACGTGCAGGGTACTAAGATATACGCCAGTAGTGTAATATTAGTGAAAAGATCGGATTATTTTTCTCGTATATTTCAGCAGAAATGGGCCGAGCTGCAGACGACTGATTCGACTTCGACCACAGTGGCGGACGAATCAACTACAGCGAACGTAAAGACAACAGATAAACTGCCGACTGCCGACGACGTCGAAACCACCATTAGTAGCAGCCCTGATGCAGAGTCAGCTTTCGAGTCATCTAAACCCAATAATATCAAATACGTAATCGACGTGACTGACTTTCATCATGTTACTTTTCTCGAAATGCTGAAATTTCTCTATACCGATAAGGTGAATTTTGACAGGCGAGAAGACTCGCACAAGAACTCTCTCGATCTATTCTCCATAGCGGACAAGTATCTTGTTACCGACTTAAGACAGCGAGCAAAGGCCAAGCTATGCAGAGATCTTAACGATAATAATGCAGCAGAGCTACTGTTCTCGGCTGCGTGGAAGTGGCCCGATCTGAAGGACGTTGTAATGACGTATGTCGTCGAGAATTTTAGTCGGGTGAGGAGATCATCCGGATTTAAGAATATACAACGTAATTCTGATGCCTATCCAAGGTCGAGCGAGGTGTTGATGGAATTATTAGGACTGCTAATACCCGACGATGAAACCAAACAATAAACGAATGTTTGTATATGCATGCGGCAAATTGGGGAATGGAAGAAAGGAGGAGTCGAGCGAGAGAGTAAACAGGGAAGGTGTAATTGGAAATAATACAGATTACGTCACTTGACCGAAAGCCGGGTCATAATATAATCTAGAACTTTACAAATGAAATTCCTTTATAGAAAGTCATCGATTGTCTGCATTACGTTGCTAATTGGATCATTATTCATTATCGCTAATTGACTCATTATTGTATCTCAAATACATCTGTATACCTACTTAATATATATTAAAATATTACATCTAATGGCAAGTCGAAATATGCGCAGCATATTTGCAAATACCAAATATCGACATTTTGATCTAATAAATACTGTTAGAAAATGTTCTGATTGTCAGACAAATTGCCATTTTACCATTCCTTCTGTTCTCCACACATACTTATGTGTTTAACCACTCCACGAGCTTGTTCAATGTCCTTTTCTGAAACGTTGGCATGTCGAGATAGAGCCAATCGCTGCAAAGTCCCCATTCGGCGCGCATGCTTAACGATCACGTGAAAATGATGGCGATCAATACAGCTTGAAGCCGGCAATTGTAATGTTTCCAAAGGAGCGGAACAATGGTTCATAAAATCATCGAGTTCATCCGCGGACAAGAACCCAGCGAACGATATTGTCAGAAATCTGAGGCTTCTCGGGAACAGCAGTGGAACATGCGTTGTGAAGAATTCTCTATGTTCAACGGATATGGTCAACCTCTTCAAGGTCAAACATGACATTAACAGTGTCATAAACGCAGGCATCGTTTCTTGCTCAACGTGTCCCTCAAAATGCTTAAGCTTGACACTTGTACGGCCAATGGTCTCAACAACAGCAGGAGGAATATCAGGCACATTGCATATTACCGCACTGTTAGGTAATCGTCTTCTGAATCGCACCTCCCTCAGACTGCCAAGTGTATTCGCAACTACTGGAATCAAGTTATCAAGCACCTTTTGATATCGATTGATGAATACGAATTTTTTCAGTCGGGTAAACGAAGAGGTTGCCAGCGGAGCAAGAATGTTGTCATTCAAATTCTCACAGTCTTCCATTATGAGCGTTTGTAGATTACTACACATAGCAACAATGAACAGAGGTACATAATCTCGAAATACCACTCTAACAAATTCAACATGAATGAGACAGTTAGATTGACTCGTTACTGCTGGCAATAAATTACTCAAGAAGCGGTACGGACCGTGTATAATGAGCCGTTGCAAATGAAGCTGTGCCTCTATCAACGTGCCTATACGCTTCGTCTCAGATCTGTCCCTGTCTCGAGGATCATACATATCGTAATCATAAAAATTGAGCTGCAATGTGTGCAAGTCTTTGCAGAATGTCGACATTCTACACATTAAATCTCCCTTCTCAAACCTCCCTCCGCACGTGAATTTTCTTACGCGCCGCATAAAAGATGGAACACCGGGAAATCTGGGTAATAGCATATAGACGTTTGGCGGGTATACATTTGAATCTTCCGTATCCAACGTTAGTTCATCAATGTGTACACCGCGGGTTACAAACATTTTGAGTATTTCATCCAAGATTTCTTTGGCAAATAGCTCCTTCTCCCATACTTGTCGTTTGGTGACATCATGTTCCGATAGGAAGTCGATGACCGAGTCATAGGATTGCTTATAACATAATGTGTGTACATAGACGGGATAGTCGATCATAAAGGGTCTTGAATAACAGGGAATGCGTACCCCTCGGCTTTCGAAAGACGATATAGTCTTGTCATCAAGGAATTGGAGGTACGTAGTGATGAGTTTGGCGGATGGCTTATGTATCTTATCGAATGGATTTCTGTAGAGAAGCGTGACAGCATGTTGACACCAGTGCTTGCTGACTTGTAAGCATGTATAAAGATAATTCGGTTCATACTGATGGCATTTAAAAATTTCTTGTAGACATTCTACAGGCATGTCAAACCGACCGTTGAAAAGAAGAGAGACAGACATGACTAGTCTCAAATATAAGAATGGAGAGTGACAGAAGAGATTTGATGCGAGTATATAACAAAGAGCGGTCCCCGATCGATCGATCGATCGGGTTGAGTGAAATATTCTTGAGATATTATGTTATTGATGATAGGTAATGTAGGCGATGGGAGTAATTCTGCTTACCAATAACAATTAGGTTATAAATGTGATTGTTTGTTTTTTTTTTTTTTTCAACGGATAGCCCTCAGACGGACGGAATGCAGGGAGGTTTGGGAGATTTGGGGAGAAGAGGAGAGGGTATGCGAATGTCGACTGATAAAAGGTTGATGTGAATAGGCAAAGGGAGAACACGATTATTAGACAATTTGCTGGAACGTAGATTTGCAAGTTATATGCTTATTCGTAGATAGCATAGTGGCATATCTAGCTCGGGAAGGTTGTGGCTGATGACTACCCGATTTGCAATAATAGCTTCCAGGCGTTTGACAATTGCCTTGAGGATCACGGAAAAGAATAGTATACACCCGATCTGCACGAAATGGGTTGCCCCTTTGATCGACAGCACACCTGAATCGAGAGTGGTCACAACATTTGGTTTGCCGGAACGTACGGAAAAATACAGGCTCCAGCGATCGAAGTAAATGTAGCTATCGTCCAAGTGGGGTGAAGCTGAAAATTAATGTCCTAAATTATTTTTACGATCGACAAGTCCGAATGACGGATATAAATGTTTGCCAAATTGAATCTGGGGGTTTCTAATAAATTATTTATACAGGTAAACCGTTTTTACAGTTTTCAAATTATTAAACTCGAACATTTTTGCCTAATGAATAAGGATTTTCAAATTTGTGTTGATCTTAGACATACTGCACTGTATAAAACAAAGACGCATATCACAAAGTTGCAGGGGATCAAGCAATTATAGTGGGGATATTGCCAAACAAGGAATGCCAAGGATGACAGTACGCGCTGCATACTTTCGATGCCGAAATCATTGTTATCAGGCTAAAAGTCTCTATCATTCCCTGTGCGTCATATTTATTTCGATCTCCATTTATTGTGCATTATTAATTAAAGAAAAGATTTGGTTAATTTGATAATCGCTTCCATAAAGGGGAAACTGTAGAATTTTACATATTATCGATATAGGTTATAGAAAAGAGGGTATGTCCGCACATCCGCGTATAATACCAGTCAATTTAGGTTTAGCGATAACATCAGATTTTCTAATTGGCGGCGCGGGTTAGATAAGATTTGATATTTCAATTACAAACAAATTATGTATGACTAATATTAATGTACCAGACTATAATTAATTGTTACACGATAGTATTTTCCCATGGTACAGTACTTTATTGAGTAACAACTCGTCATTTAGTACAAATTCAAGTGTATGGTAAATGGGGTGGGAATATATGATTAATACTAACGATAAAAATATTTCAACCAATAATACATTACTCATATTATTTTGCCAAGATTCTACTTATCGTCAAAAACATTGGGTGAAATGTAATGACATTCGATTGTTCGAAATGTAAGCTAATGTACTGATAGTGAGAGAAAAACTTGATATAATCATTGTTCGTATAAACATCCTTTACCTCGTCAAATTAATAAATCTAATAAATTTATTGATCGATTGCTTCGATCAGTATCAAATTAATATTATTTACGAAAAACTTTCGTTAGTATCTAACATGTTTATCTTGAGTGAACACGGTCGA